ACGCCGGATTAAATTGATTTGTAAACATCTCTTTATTTATTGAATTGATTTTTGATTGGCAGTTCTGAATTCTATTTATGATTAAGTCGTGTGTTAATCCCTTAATTAACGAATGAATTTGCATATTATTTTATTGCGTCGCTGACTAAAGCGATTTCGGTTATTATCGCCGATACAAAATGCGTCATTGCTAACGTAAGTGTCAATCATGTTTTACGTCGTTCGCGTCAGTTTTGGTCATGTCACGTAATTATTACGCACAGTGGGAATTTATTGTTTTTCACGCTCGTTTTTTATCAAATTGTTTTATTTGAGACATGTTACGGACGTAGCACATTTACGTTTTACGTCGACTACGTCAGTTTACGCATGCCACGTAAATATCACGCACAAGTGGAGACTTATCGTTTTTCACGTTATATTTATTTATCAAATGGCTTGGCGGTGTGGCGCATTGTGCTAAGCCTAAACCTAAATTTAGCAATTTTCATTGAATTTTTTTTTTTTTCAATGGGAATCCCATGGGATGGGATGGGACAGGCATAATTGCTATGCGATGGGATGCGAATGGGACAGAGAAAATATGTCTCATGGACAAGCCTGCAGTTTAAGATGTTTGCGAAATCGTTTATTGCCTTAGTTCCTCAACCAAATGAATTCTTAAATTTTAATTTCAGCTCAGATAGATTCATCACTCAAGGTTAAATTTAATTATACAAATTTGCGATTCTCAAAAATATTTTGTAATTTCCGAGAAAATTGGCAGGTTGCAGCTTCGGCAAAAATTACTTTGAACAGTTGTTAGAATTTTGAAGTAAATATAAATGAAGTTCCAAAGATGTGTTTGCCTATAAGATCATTTAAAACGGATTACTCATAACAACTTACTAAAAACTTGCTAAAAAAAAAGGAATTACTTTTTGTCACTGACAGTGTAAGACAGTTCAATATGTTTATAACAACATTTATTGTCTTTCCACCTTCAACAATCGAATAAATTTTCAATTTCGGCCCAATTCAATTCAACACTAAAAGTTAAATTTAATTAAACAAAATTGCGATTTTCAAAAATGTTTTGTAATTTCCGAGAAAATTGTAACGTTATAAGCAGGTATTATCACAAATGTAACTTTAGTAATTATAGATTAGGATGCATCGTCGACAACGATTATTACGGACAGTTACGGACATCAACTTTCAAAAATGTTTTTGCCTACAAGATCATTTGAAACAGATTACCCATAACAACTTACTAAAACCTTCCTAAAACTCGATAAAAATAGGATGACTTTTTGTCACATACAGTGTCAGGCAGTTCAAGATGATTGCAAAAACGTTTATTGTCTTACGTCCTTTAACAATTTAATCCTTCAATTTTCAAAATTCGGCTTAATTCGAATCTCAACTAAAGCTTACATTTAATTATACAAAATTACAATTTTCAAAAATGTTTTGTAATTTTCGAGAAAATTGTTACTTTATAAGCAAGTATTATCACGAATATAACATTAGTAATTATAGATCTCAACGCAGCTTCGGCAACAATTACTACGGCCATTTTTTTTTAACTTTGAGGTAAATTTCAAATCAAGTTTCAAAGATGTGTTTCCTAATAACTACGGGGTCTAAAAGGTCTGGTTATCCCTTACAACTTACTAAAACACATCGAAATTCACTAGAAAATCCACTAAAACCATTAAAACCACTAAAATTCACTAAAACTTACAAACATAGATGGTAACACTAGAATCTAGATCATGCTCAAAAAACAAATATAGTCATTTCCAAAGACTAACGAAACCTTTTTATTCGACGTTTCAACTACTCACTCAAAACACTTTAGGTTGAAGGATCATTTATTCAACGATTTGACTTTCCATTCCGAAAAGACTCGTTACAAGCGGCTCTGATACTCAAAAAGGCACTGTCTAAGCCGAAATTTACTGGTATAGTAATGAAGGGGGGCTCCCGAAGTATGCGAACCAAGATGGCGGACATCGGAACGTAACATGGGTAACAGGATAGGGTTAGGCGATAATTTTTTTCCAATTTTCCTTATTTTAGTCCTATTATCAGTTCGAAGACTAGCCAAGAGCCTCCCGTAGTATTTATACCTAAAATTATGGCCTAACCCTAACCTAGTACACATATTACATTCCGATGTCCGCCATCTTGGTTCGCATACTTCGGGAGCCCCGATGAAGGAATAAAGAAATTCAAAATACCAATGGGGGTGAAATATCAAAGAGTGGGAACAACGGCTCGAACCAATGGGCGGTCCTCTTTATATTGACATTGATCCAAACTGGAATTTAGCCTTTTCGTTCTCACTTGTTACTCTTGTGAAGTATGATAAAGTAATAACAGTATCAAATGTTACCACAATTGGTAGCTTATATTGTTCAGATATGAAGTGAATTATTGTAGTCGCAGTCGGTTACAAATCTCGGGTTCAAACCCTATTTTATTTGGAAGCCTTTCACTATGTAAGGCTATAGTTCTTCTTATTTCATCCTTTCTTAAACAAAGCACATCCTGTACTGCGAGCTCGGATACACCACTGTTACTCAAAAAGCGAAGGCCTGTAAATGTAACTATAACCCAAGACTTGCAACCCAGGCTTTAAAACAGGGGTAGGCAATCTTTTGTCGTTCGCGGGCCAAAATCAAGGGTTGAAAGTCATTGGCGGGCCGCAAATACTTTTAAAAAGTTGACAACCGATCGGATAATACGTTTTATAAGAAAAATAAAGCAGTGATGCATTTCTCGAATGTAATATAATCTCGAATAAATCTATATGAGATGTATCACTGCTCGATTTTTATTATAAAAAGTATCATTCGTTCGGTTTTCAACTTTCTGAATAACACGGAAAGGGGGCCACGATCCATAAAAGGTTTTAAACCACTGCTAAAGAGAATGTAAGGTAAGCATAACGCTTGTTCAATGGCCTCCGCTATCGATATTGTACCAATGTTCGCAGTTAGTTATTTCCGATATTTCCTTTCAATGAGAGTCAACAGTTTTCACATTCATCTCCTTTTTCGTGGCGTTACAATAATTTTACAATAGACGGAAACAATGACGTGCTAGGACTATAAATAATATTCAGTAAAATCAGTTACAAATAACTGTTATTAAATATAGTTTGAAGCAAGATTTATTAACCGTTGGTCAATTCTAACAATGCGAAAGCACCAAGGGGTTCATAAAGCGATGGGGCATTAGCATATATTGAATGATAACATGTAATAAACAAAGTAATATTTACATTAAAATGCAGGTAAAATCAAAGTCTTTGGAATATTCTGGAATCCAAGATTGAAGGATATAACGCAAATAGTGGTTTACAATCCAGTATAGTCTTCGTATACAGAGAGGGATGTGAGACAACGCATTATGCAGGTTGAATATACTAGAGCGATAGTATACCTAAGACAGGGGTTCTTAAACTTTCAGTATTATGGAGCCCGTGAAGAGATTGATTATTATTTACGGAGCCCCAAGATAAATTTAGAAAAATAAAAACAAAAAATGCCACTGGTACTTACCGATTAATGTTCATGAGTATATTTAAACGATTATTATAATTCAGGGGTTCTCAAACTTTTGGTGCTAGGAAGCCCGCGAAGAGGTTGACTATTATTTACGGAGAGAAAAGGGGGACAATGTATTAGGTATAGTTTCACATAGGGTGTCTGGGCCATCAGCTCGACTAATGGGCCACGACGCAGTTCTGCTGGGAATAACTATAGTTTCTGAAATTGGGAAGCTCCCACGGGCAGTTACGGAGCAGTCTTAGAGGCCTCAGGCACCGGCGATTTGCGATGACTATCTTAATATAAAGCAAATTGTTTGCGATTCATTCAATTTTTTGATTTTTGAGCATTTATTTATTTGCTTTCGTTTGTTTACTTTTTTAATATTTGAATATGAGGCGTCAAATAACCGATGGAAACTCGCGAAAAGCAAAGGTAGCTGTTATCTATAGAACAGTGGTTCCAAGACCGCGGCCTGTGGGCCAATCACGGCCCTCGTAACGATTAAATACGGCACACCGAACTTAAGTGAAATAGTTTAACACTTTATGTTTTTAGCTTTTTGTGTTTTAGATACCGCCAATTGCTATGTCATTATCACAGTTTAAGCACGTGTATATTTACATCAACTAAATTCAATTGGTAACTTAATTAAGCGTACCGGCATCGGCATCGGTCCTTGAGGGCGCTCTTTTCTTCCGGCCCGCAAATATCCTTCCGCTTCTAGTTTTGGTCACCGGTCAATCAACTTTGGGAATCACTGCATAGAAGACCATGAGTGTTGAAAGTCTTTCAATATATTAAGACGGATTGAGAACTGCTTGACAGAAATAACTTAATAACAGCGATGTTGATTTGTTATCACAGAACCGTAGTCGAATTTTTTGTTCTATCCGGAGTCAGGAGTCGGAACCGGAACTCTTTTTTGAAGCCCCAAGCCTCTAGGATGTTTTATTGGATTTCCGCTTTTTTAAAAAAGTTGAAAACTTCCGGATTTTGTGTATTTCCTTCAATTAAAACTTGATGACGATTATGTTAATTTGATATACCAGAGCCAGAGTCAATTTTTGTTCTATCCAGATTAAGAAATCAAAACCGAGAAGAATTATTTTGAGGCCCGGGTTTAATTTGAACTTTTCTCCTAGAGGGAGGCTTTGTGTTATTCCCTCCCATCTGTATGTTATCCTAACAGTATCTCGAATGGGTGTTTCACGCAACCGCTGGTCGGTTACGGCTTCCCCCACCATCAAGTCCATGCTTCGGAAAACAAATAACTGGCTAACTAATTCCATACCCGACATGGACTGGTAACCGGACGAGAGGCCGTGGTTCGCCATATGGTTAAGCCTTCTTATCGGCTTTCCTCTCCCCGGGATAAACGTGTAAATCCTATCCTATCCTACCCAAGTTTCGTTTAATTGTTATCCTTCTACTTCTCTTTAGCATTAATACATATAAATCTTCAAGTGAGTCTTTGGCCACTTACAGCTCTATTTCTACTTTTCACTATTTGTTGAAAACTCGGAATTTACTTCGAGCTATAACTTGTTGAAAAATTTTCTTCATAAATGGCATCCAAACAAGAAAAACAAGAACAAAAGTCTGGGACTAAAGATAGGTATGAGAAGGAATTTTAGTAATTTATTTATTTCAATATATATGGTGTCCATGAAGTTTTGAAATATTTTTAAAATTTTAAGGTGAAATTATCAATATCAAATATTGTTTTGGTCCTTACAGATATATTAAATGAAGTAAAAATACCTGAACAATTACTGATTAAAAAACAACAAACCTGGTTAAGATATATTGGAAACTGACTTTATACCAAAATTGAAATTGTGAAGGGACTTTATGGACAACCCGTATTTACCAAAGTTGAGCATTAATTTTGAAGTAGAATCCTAGTAATTGTAAGCTGTGACTCCAGTGAAAATTCAAAGTTACTTCAAAAATCTGTGATTTGAATAATCTTGCAAAAATAAGAGAGCGATACTCAAATATATGGTCACGAAGCTCAAAACGAAGTAATATGGAATCTTTACAGAAACGGTAATTTTCCTTTTTTAAAAATGTCCCGACTTCAATGTGCACGAAATCGCTATAATGTATTCGTGGAACCGCAATCATGATGTGCAATTTTTGTTACACCCTTAGTGTGTGTACCAATTTTGGATTAAGCGATAATTTTATTCCGATTTTTGTTATTTTAGTTCTATTATGAGTTTGGGGACTGTCTGTGTCAGCCAAGTGAAAATACCCTCTGTCCATAGCTTTCAGTCCCTTTGGACAACTTGATGTAAAGTAAGCGAACAAAATTAGTTACCTCCATATTGGTACACACACTTCTGAAGCGCCCAATGTTTAGCTTTAGGGACGTCATTACGCAAACCTTTCATGTGAAAAACAAATTCCATAGATCTTTTCCACCACCAACAACAATATTAACGATAAAAACGATCGATGGGTCCATTTTGTGCCCAATATCAGTTGAAATAGCAGTAATGTACGCGTTGCAATAATTTTACAATAGGCGGAAACAATAACGCGCTAGTATTATAAACAGTATACAGTAAAATCAGTTACAAATAACGGTTATTAAATTAAGTTTGAAGCGAGATTCATTTGCCGCTGGTCAATTATAACACTGTGAAAGCACTATAAGGTATATAAGGCGTTAAGTCGGTAGAATATATTGCGGTCCGATTGCTGAATTCTCACCGCCATGAGTAAATGGAATGGAAAAATTGTGCGGCCCGTGAAACGACTTTTGAATTTCGTTTAATCTGGTACATGCGAGTATTTCTAACCCTGGTCTTAATCTGGTTAGTGCGAGTATTTCTAACCCATTTGCATTGCAAAGCCTATGCTTGAGTAAATATTTCGGACAACGCATGTCAAAAGATCAATCAAATTTGTCTACAACTACTAGTAATCCCATGTTAAAGATGCGACCCGCGGTTTCACCCAGTTATTTGTATCTGGCTCTCCTAAATTAGAAGTTACACACCCCTGATATAAAGTATCGAATTTGAATGAAAACTAGCGGAACCTTTAGAATGTATTTTCAGAACCCTTGCGTACAGCGGAATCCCGAGTAAAAACCATTCTTATAATGTAATACTTTTGATTCAAGGTCCACACCATATTCGGAGTATGAAGACCCAAGTCAGTTGAAAGGCAAAGCAAGTAATTCTAAACCAGACGATCAGAACAGACAGGCCCAGTATGTACCAGGTATGTGAACGTAAACAAAATGTAATGCGGAGGTTCCCCGAAACCTATGGGATGGGCATTTCCAATCAAATATTCGAATCGAATAATAATCTATTCGAATCTACTAACACTAAAATTTCGAATCGTCGCGATCTTGTTTTATTTTGTCCACCAAAGGACGAGGTGAATTTTTGGTACACCTGAAGTATGTTTATCAAGATGGCGGATGTGTACCAGGCTAGGGTTAGGCCATAATTTTGTTCCAATTTTCTTTATTTTAGTTTTATTACTAGTTCGGGGACTACCCAAGTGACTCCCGTAGTATTTGTACCTAAAATTATGGGCTAACCTTAACCTGAAATACATACTACGTTCCGTTGTCCGCCATCTTGGTACGCATACCTTAGGAATACCGAACTTTTTCATTGCAGCTATATTTTCAAAATATTATCTGGTATATGTTCCAGTGAGTTATTGATGAAGTAATGTTTTTTACTGTGTGTAACAACTAAGCGAACTGTCTCATTGATGGATTATATGCAGTAAAATTATTAAAACGAATAACAGGTCAAATTTCTGTCCCAAACCAAACTTGTTTCTAATCTATATTACAATTCTGTACATTCATTTTAAACAAGGATATTGAAATAAAAATTTTTCCATTTAGAAAAACGAAGTGATTACGAAGACAGAGATTTCAGTACACATAACATTGCACAGCTTACTTCTTACGAAGACTTTTCTCTTGATGGAAGAACTACAAGCTCAGAAGGTAAAAGTAGAAATGCAGACTCGAATCAACTCCATGTCATTCGATTATCCGACGCCATATTGAAAAATTCATTTTAACCCTTTACCAGATACGATTCTCTTAAGAAAATTGACTCCGGCTCTACCTCAAAACTATTGAATAAAAATTTTTCTCAATGCCGCTGGCTGAATTCCGATTCCGGATTCACAATCCGGTAATAAAATTGACTCCGGATTTATGCTTCCATCAAAATTACTAAATTTATATTTCACACTTGACTCCGGGTCCGGAATCTTGTCGAAAAAATGACTCCATCTCACTAGATCGGTGATTTTCAACCTGGGTTCCGCAGGGTTGCCGACACGTTCAATCCGATTCCGAGTTGGAACTCCGGTAAACAAAATTGACTCCGGATATATTTCTTCAATTAGATTAGCCATATTTGTGCTCTTTATATTTAACGCCGGATCCGGAATCCCTATCTAAAAAATGACTCCACCCTTCTGGATCAGTGGTTTTTGCGACACCTTTGGGGTTCCGCCAGTACAGTCAAGGAATTCCAGAAGTTTTCACTTATATCTGAGAGTCTATATTAACATGTGTATATTGTTTGAATATATTCAAATATATATTAGAATTGCCATTAAAATTAAGTTTTCTACAGTCCAAAGATCATTTAGTTTTGCCGCCAGTATTAGGTTTGTTTTTGTATATAATCATAGTTTATACATTTCAGACAAATTAAAACACAAATAAACTATAGCACATGGGTTCCTAGCGCCTAAAAAATGTTTTGTTGGGGTCTGCTCCATAGAAAAGGTTTAAATAACCACAGATACTGAAATGAATTATTTTACATTCAGAAAAAAGAAATGATTACGAAGACAGAGATTTCAGTACAATTAACATTGTGCAGCTTACTTCGTACGAAGACTTTTCTCCTAATAGAAGGACCACAAGCTCAGAAGGTAAAAGTAGGAATGCAGACTCGATTCGACTTGATGTCACTCGTTTATCCGATTCCCGACTCCATATTGAAAAAATTCTATCCCATTGCCGGATACAATTCACATAAAAATGGACTCCCGCACTACCTCCGGCACTATTCTCAATGCCGCTATCTAGATATCCAATTCGGATTCAAATTCCGGTCAAAAATTGACTCCATGTCATTCGGGTATCCGGATTCAATTCACTTGAAAAAAAATTTACTCCGGCTCTACCTCACAACTATAGAATGACAATCTTCTTCAATGTCGCTAGCTAAAATTCGATTCCGGATTCAAACACCGGTGCAAAAAATGGACTCTGGATTTATTTTCCATTAGCCATATTTGAACTCTTTATATTTAACGTCGGATCTGGAATTCCATTAAAAAATGACTCCACCTCTCTAGATCATTGGTTTTCAAACTGGGTTCCGCGACACTCTAGGGTTCGGCCATAGTGCGGTAAGGGCGTTATGCATATTTTTAGTTGATTCTGCCCCAACAAAAAGATTGAATTATACACAGATATTGAAATAAATCATCTTACATTCAGACAAAAGAAGCGATTACGAATACATAGATTGCAGTACAATTAACATTGCGCAGCTTACTTCGTACGAAGACTTCTCTCCTGATAGAAGAACCGCAAGCTCAGAAGGTGAAAGTAGGAATGCAGACTCGATTCGACTCCATGTCATTCGATTATCCGAATACCAACTCCATATTGGAAATATTCTAACCTTTTTTCCGAATATCATTCACTTTGAAAATAATTGACTCCGGTTCCACCTCAAGATTTCATAACACCAATATTTCTGAAGGCCGCTAGCTGGAATCCGACTCCGGATTCAAACTCCGGTTAAAAAAAATTGACTCCGGATATATTTTCCATCATATTAACAATATTTAAACTTTTTATATTTAACTCCGGCTCCGATTCTTGGTTGAAGTTGACTCCGTCTCTGGAAATATTTATAAATGATAAAATTTTTGCAAATTTCATTCTGATCTAAAAAAAAGTTTTTACTTCAACTCCTAGAGATTTTAAAATGCCACTCCGATCACGACTCGAGGTACAAAAATGTTTGTAGAAAGCATTGTCTCAAGATTTAATTAAATTCAAGTTAAATCTGTCATGGAAATTACTAATCGTACGATGTATGTATTACAGAAAGGCTATTATTATTAACTACATTGACAGTCGATGTTCAAACTCACACGGTCTTTATTTTTTGTTTCAGATTTTCGTGAAATCGTTATTAAAATATTATTCGAGCGGATGACAATGATAGAAAAGACAGTGGAAACTCTGAAAAATCGTCAGGATGTATTAGAAAGAGTGTGAGTAGCCATTTTGTAATTTTAACAAACATTTAGAACAGTGGTTCTCAAACTTTTTAATCCTCGTCTCCCTTTTAGAATTTATCAAGTCTTGCGCCCTACCTTAAAAATATGGCGAGAGTGTGTTTTATCAAAATACCTGGACGGAACGTAAATATTAAAATAAATAAAATGTTAATATATAAAATTAATCTACCAATTATTTTTATTTTTAATAACTTCAAGCCCCCTCAAAACATGCCTCATTGTGGGGCGCGCTCAACCGTTTTAGAATCATTAGATTGTTGCTTATGAATCAAAAAATAATTAAAATTTTGTAAAAGAACTAATTAACTTGACGCCAGGTTCCTCCCCAAGATAATTAACAAATAACTAAAGCGCTTGTGAAACTTACAATACTTCTAATAGGAAAACTTTGCGAGAATATTTGGTTTTATTATAATATTTGGCACAATAAATCCCCAAGTTTGACTTCGGCTCCGTTTTTTTTTTATAAATATGACTCCGGAATCGACTCTAATTATAAAACTCCGAACACCCCGCATCTACCGATTGCAAATCTTGCACTACCAGCACCACTTGTACAACTTGGCGTCTGAGGGTGAAAATTTCCAAGCCGTGCTGATGAATTGAGGAACTTAGCATTGGTTACAATATATATATATATACGCGAGTGTATTGCTAAATGATTTAAAGTCACGACTCAGCTATTACAATATCCCTACTTGTATTCGGGCGATAGGCTGTGGTTCGCCATATATTTGAACTTTCCGAGCAACTTTTTCAATCTTAGCATTGCAAATACTATTTTAAATATTTAGAAACTCCGAAGCAAAGACCTCCAAGCCCAAGAAAGAAAAGTCAAAAGTAAAAGGTGAATGGGTTCTGATCTTTAACTTATTACCTTTGAACCTTGTGTGATATTTTTCGATAAACTCAGCACGATGACGTGTCCCTCAAATATAGTTTTTGTTGAAAGCAGTTTCTCTAGACCAGGGGTTCCCGAACTTGGGTCCGCAACGATGTGAAAAGACTCTAATCTTCAATGGTTGATTTTAAACAAAAAGCCACTGCATTTTTTTGGTTGATCGTGACAGTAGAATATCCATTGCTGTCCGAAAATGCGATTAAAATGGTTAGACTCAGAAATTGAGACGGCATAGTATGTTGTTCCGTCAAAAATAAAATTCAAAAACAAGGGTGCGAAGCTCAAAAAGTTTGGGAAACCCTGCTGCTGTAACCCAATTTCCTCCATTCGTCTATTCTGGGACGTTTTATTCCTTCTTCAGTAAGCATGAATAGTGCTTTATTAATGTAATCTTTAATGGATCCTTAGCCAGTGTTATGCGCAAGCCACAATTCCGCTTTTGTATAGTTCAAGTAGTTTATAATGTGTAATTAAGTAAAGATTACAGTGTTAAAAAGAAATATTATTAATAATAGAGAGAATCCAAAGCAAAATACCTCCCAAGAACGACAAAATATCTCTTTGGGAAAGACTTGCTCCCCGGTTGAGATAAACGGTTCAAATGAGATTTGATTGTTTTAGTTTCAAACACGATTCGAAACTAAAAACCACTAATAAGTATAAAATATGGGTTTGAACGTGAGAAGTCGAACCTCAACGCCAACAACGACTTTAGTAATAAACCTTCGTCGCTCCAGAAGTATGTGTACCAATATGGAGGTAACTAATTTTGTTTGCCTACTTTACAACAAGCTGTATAAAGGAACTGAAACCTATGGGCAGGGGGTTTTGGCTTTGGCTTTTCACTTGGCTAACACAGACAGTCCACAGACATTTACCTCAATGGGTCAATAGACTTTTGAATAAATAGACTTGTAACAATGCCAACGGCACCCATGTAGTATGCAAACCAAGATGGCGGTCACCGGAACGTAGATGTGTACCATGTTAGGGTTAGGCCATAATTTCAGGTTTAAGTACTGCGGAAGTCACCTCGCTAGTCCACGAACTCGAGATATAAATAAAACAAGGAAAATTGGATTGAAATTATGGCCTAACCCTTACCTGGTACACATACTACGTTCCGGTGTCCGCCATCTTAGTCCAAATACTACGAGAGCGCCATTGTAACTATATTCGTGACAATTCAACTATACGTACCGGTATCGCCATTGCGGGATCTCCGCTTTCCCGCCGCGAATATCCTTCCGCTTCGAATTGTGGCCCCTACTCAATCAACTTTGGAAACTACCGCCCTAAACGAATTGAAATTCATTCCTAAACGACAAACTTTCGTTATAGATACACCAATACCAGACGCTATAAAACCAATTAAGAGAAAAGAACGTACTCTGCAATCGTTACTGGATGAGCTTCACAACTCTTACATGGCAGGAAGAAAATCAAAAGCAAATTTTTGTTTGAGCGATATCAAGAAATTGATGACGTCATCAAATAGACCCAAAGCAACCGAGGTAAAAAAAATGGCCGAAAAATACATTGATAACCCATCCTATATCAAAGCTGCTATTCTGCTTTCTTGGGCGGCTGAGCTGCATGTTACGGACTCCGACCCTGATGAGGCTGCACTTGCAATCGCCGATTGCGCTCACATTTATGTTCAAGTCATCAGACATATGATTGATCTCAAAGGAAAAATGCACATAATAGCCAAAGACTTTGGTGTGGATATCATTCTAAAAATGCTTGGAAATCTACGAGGCATCACATCAGCCGATGCCGATGTTATGTTTAAATATGAAACTCGTACTATAAGTAACGTAGGTACGTGCCATAATAGGTTAGGTCACAACTCAGATGCGATCAAGTTTTATCGCCAGGGAATGGATTTGTTTGAGCGAAAATACGAAAGCAAGGCTATGGAGCACTATGATTATGGTACACTACTACACAACACAGGAGTGGCTCATTCGCATTTAGGAAATAACGCCGAAGCTGAAAAATACTACCTGGATGCCCTCAAATCATACAAAGCTTCAACAGACTGGAAATACAAGGGCCAGAAAAAGGATTTGATAACAAACACTGAAGAAAAGTTAAAACGCTTACGCCTGGAGTTTAAAAATGAATGAGCTTTATAACAATACCGGCTATGACCGTAATCCAAATTAGACAAGTTATACTCAAGCATAGTGATCTTTTTATTTAGTCTTCAGGATTAGTTATTTTTATATACTTTTTTGAAACTCCTATTATTTTCGTGGAAATTTCTCCCTGTTGTGACCTTATGATCTTAATGATCTAATCTGGAAAATTCTTCTTTCAAGGATGACTGATTGTTTTTGACATATCATCAATGTTTCAAAATAATCCATATAATTCATCACACACCTCGTTAGATATCATTTACTACATGCAGAGTCCCGTTTCGAGTGAGCGCTACAAATGTTGCTTAGACGTTATTTTTCTCATTTGCTTTTCGTTCTATAGATATGTCCAGAGTAAATATTCAGATTTTCAATATTTTAGGAGTTTATATTTCTTTTTTCAGTGTTTTTCTTCTCATGCAAATATATTCAAATGTAGCTGAGAAGTTCAATTTTTTTTTATTTTCCTTTTTTAGACGTGTCAAGAGTAAATATTCAGTTTTCAATATTTTAGGAGTTTATTTTTCTTTTTTCATTGTTTTTCCTTTTATGCAAATATTAAATGTAGCTAAGACGTTCAATTTTTTTATTATTTCATTTTTTTTTCTCTTCAATTGTTTTCTCTTTTTGTGCAAATGTATTCAACTGTAGCGTAGCCATAGACAATAAATTTAGGCGCTCCAGAAGAATGTGAACCAAGATGGCGGACATCGGAACATAGTCCGTGTACCAGGTTAAGATTATGTCATAATTTTTTTCCAATTTTCCTTATTTTAGTTCTATTACGAGTTCGGGGACTAACCAAATGATTTCCGTAGTCTTTGTACCCATACTACGTTCCGGTGCCCGCCATCTTTCTTTACATACTTCAGGAGTATCTAAATGTCCTATTTTATTTTCGTTTCGTAGACGTGTCCGGAGTAAATATTCAGTTATTTATTTTTTAGAAGTTTCTTTGTTTTCCTGTGTTTTCTCTTTCATGCAAATATATTCAGTTTTTCATGTCATCAACATCCAAAATTTGTTTCATCTAAAAACTTTTAAAATTAGATTGTAAAGGCTAAGGTTAGCGTCCAAAATAACTATATTGTGAAAACGGCGATCCAGAAGGGTGTGTACCAATATAGAGGTGACTAATTTTGTTCGCATACTCTACAACAATTTATATGAAAGGACAGAAGCCTATGGGCAGTGGGTATATTCACACGGCTAACACAGACAGTCCGGCTAACACATACAGTCTTGAACTCGTAATGGAACTAAAATAAGAAAAATCGAAATAAAATTATGACCTAACCCTAACCTGTTACACACACTACGGGAGTACCGAGAAAACATCGTATGACTGGAAATAATCTTTTTAAGGTTTAAAAACTACGGAAAAAGTAGCATTTTTCCGGGCTGGGAGTGTTCAAATGAAATCGTATTAAAATTATTTTACCATAGAATTGTGCCCATTCAAAATGTTCCTTGGGCCCTTGAGAGGACCCTGTTGGAAAGCATTGGCTCGGTTGTTATATTTGGATTTAACTATGTCGGGGACTCAAGTTAACCCAAATTTACTGGTTTTAAAAGTGCATCGTTGAGTTGCTGAGTTGCTTTTCTGAAATGATCACCCGCTGATTACTCATGAGCCATATACAATAATTGTATCAGTGCTGGACAGAAGTTCCTAAACCACGAGTCACGTGTCAGGTCGAGTCACGGGTTAGGATTCATGTGTCAGTTCTATCTAGCATTACCTCGAGCATTTCTAGCACTCACAGTATTACTTGTGCGTTCAAAATATTTGCAAAATGTTCTTCTTAAGCCTCGAGACGACGCGAATCGCGAACAAGTGATGTAACGCAAGTCCAACTAGAGTCGACTCGAGTCGAGTCCGTAGTGTGTCGACCGGGCTAGGGTTATGCCATAATTTTATTTTGATTCCACTTCTTTTAGTTCTATTACGAGTTCGGGGACTGTCTGTTGTTATTGAAATGAATATATCACAAAGGTTTCAATCCCTTCACACAACTTGATGTAAAATAGGCAAACAAAAATAGTTACCTCCATAATGGTACACACACTTTTGAAGCACACACTTTTCCATTGTGGCGTATTGTGCGCGTCGAGTCGAATTTAGTCAACGTCGTTTCCAATGTAGATTATTTTGGATTTAGCCAAGTTTTTGAATGTGATTAATTTCAAAACTTAGCGAACTAAGCAGACAAGTTTGAATTTAAATATTCCATTTCAGCCACTTTGCCCTGTGGTGCAAAAGTGGGACAAGCTGGAAAAGTTGGACAAGGCGAAAAAGCGAGAAAGATGGGACAAGTGGGAAAAAGGGGACAAGTGCGACAGATGAGACAAGTTGGACAGGTGGGACATGTGCGACAATTGCTACATTTAGGACAAGTGGAACTAGGGGTACAACTTGAACAAGGGAGGCAAGGGGTACAGGTTGTGCAATTGTTGAACAAATGGAATAAACTGAAAAAACAAATGGGACAGGTGGGATTTAACGTAAAAGGTTTGCATATATTGTAAAAACCATTTTGCATGTTCGTTCAAAAAATAAAATAACTTTTCAAGCATGATTAAAGCGAAACGATTTGAATATTAAAAACAATTAATGACGTTTATCTGTATATACTTTCATGCAAACGTTACGCTTTATTTTTGGAGTATGCTATTTATAGGTTCCATTACATTTGAACCCACGTACATTTGAACCCATGACAATTGCACCTGTATGCTATTGCACCCATACTAACCCTAACCCATGGGTTTTAACACCCGCATATAGATTGAACCCGTGGGTATGCACATGGGTTCAAATGTACGTGGGTTCAAATGTACGGTCACCTATTTATATTATCAATAT